CTTTTCTTTTCAGACATATAAAGTACTTTGGTTTTGATCCCAACACGGGGTTTCATGTAAGTAAAAACTGCTTTGTAAGAAAGTAGTTATACATTTAAACCTTGTTAAGGAAAAATAGTACCTATGCACTGATATAAGAGTAGATTATACATAACTGTTGTTTAATGATGAAGAACCCACTTTTAGAAAATAAAGTTTGGAGATGGCTTGAATGGGTAATGAAAGAAACTTATCAATAACAAATTTATTACTTGTAATAAAGTTTCTATCATTACCCATTCAAGCCATCTCCAAACTTTATAGCTATTGTTTAATGGGTATATGTCTCGAACAAGAATTAATTACCATTTTTGTATAGCTTAAGAAACATGATTTCATAATGCACTGAGTATTGATCTAATGAGTTTTCAAAACAATTAAATAAAAAGAAGTTTTGATTATCAAAGACGTTAAAAGCTAATTTTAATTTTGCACAACCATAAGAAAATATATTTTGTTTTTAAGCTGTTAAAATGATGGGAGCAAAATTATTCAGAATATTATAAAACAGAGTTATTTTGTATTCATACTTGAACATTATGATAAATCATGTAACAAGTTGTTCATGCACATGTTTAAATATAGTTTAAAATCACATTGTTTTATTTGTTAGAAGACATTAGTATTAGCCCTATTATATTTTTAAAACACTATATTCTGTATCTAGTCCCTTAGAGATTTTCAAGAATTAGAAGAGTGTATAATAATAGTATTCTGACCACACTATATTTCGATTATTCATTGTTGATTATGCATTTTTCGTAATCCAGAGCTCCACTGGTTGACTGGATATAACAAACACAGCAATGGTTAAAACACTATTTATATAACCCATTTGTGAATGTCTTTTACAAGCTGGTAAAGCATGTTATTATAAGTAAAAAGTGTTCACATCATAACATTTTTTTATTACCATATTTATTTTAATCATAAACGAAATGCTTATATTGATTTTTTTTCTATTAGAATTTCAGATGTATAAAATTTTCTTTGATTTTTTTTCATAAACTAACTTTAATCCAAACAACACCCTTTTTGTATATTTTTGCTTTTGCTTAATTAAATTACTAACCAACTTGAATGTTGAAATGAGTTACAAGGTCACCTGCAGGTCAAGATAAAATATTATTTTGAATTACAGATTTAGATATAAAATATAACAATAGTAACTGTTTTATTTATCATTTTTATAGCTACTTTTAAACTTGTTTTTATTTCTTTGATTGAAACTTTTAGCTATGTCATAATGTGGATGGACACCTTAAAGAATTCTTCAGTATGGCAGGAATATCAGAAAAACAGCTTCAAGACAATAGTACATACACTTATATCTGTAACTTTATTGCAGAACATGGAGTTGTTGATGCAGTACAAGCAAATAGCCAGCCTAAACGTTTCTCAAGTAAGTGGTCTTATCAGATCTGTAGAAATTTAGCCTTGTTTAAATAACATATCCAGATCTGTAGCAGTTTATGCATGTAATCAACAAATATGTTCTGGTTTGTGGTAACTTAAGTTTTTTACAAGTAGTCTGGCTTGTTCTGAACATATTAACCCATCTTATTAGTAAATAATTTTGTCAGTTCTTGAGCAATTTATCCATTGTCAAGTATGTTCCTCAGTCCTTAAGCATCTTACCCCACTCTGGAATAAGTGTTCTGACCCTGTATAAGGTTTAATAATCTCAGGTAAGTGCTCTCATTGTTATAACTGCCTTAAATACCTTCTGGTTGTTGGTTCAGACTTGTATCAACTTTAGCCATCTTCAGTTCAATGGACTTTGTGTATCAGCCTTATATAACAATCTTCAATAAGTGTTCAATTCTTGTATCAGCTTTAACCTCCCACAGATAAATGGTTCAGCCTTGTTTATGTCTAACTATCCTATCATTTTAGTCTAACCCACAAATAGGTTAGTAGGTCAATCCTGTACCACCATAGTCTACCATCAAGTATGTGATTTGGCCTTGTAGCACCTAATACATTATAGTAGTTCAATTATGTGTATTAATTAACAACTACTGTCTAACCCAACATCATGTTGGTGGACCAGTTCTACTAGCACCTTAATCTACCATCAAGTAACAATCTGACGTAACTCACTGCTACAAACAGGGTTGAACAAAAAACAACAACAAATTTATTATACTTTGAATTTTCCCCCGTTTTTGAAAGCCATTTCTGATCCGAAGGCCTTCCACCATTCAAATGTCCCTTCCCTCAAACAAGAATCCAAAGTTTCCACCCATTTATTCTTAGGTATTTGATAAAAATGTCTTTCTAAACTTTTAAGAAACTCCAAGACATTAAAATCCAACTTATTGTTGAACTTCTCAACAGGCTGGGGTGGTGGGTTGACTGCAGTGATGTAAGTAAATGAATTGTCCACAGGGCTGTAGGTAGAATAAACTCTTGAAATCTGAGGTTGAGGCGAGGGAGACCTCGTTTCTCTCACTAGCAGATCAGTCACCATGCATGTTAATTATTTTAAAAGCGATAGTTATGACAAGTTTCGTTAGGTAACTCTCTATGATCGTACTTTGTGTATGCAGTTTGAATGTTGTACTAGGCTTTTGTAATATTGTTGACGTCATCTTACTTGAAGCTTCTAAGTCTTTCTCGTTATGTGAATATTGTTGTCACCAGAGGACTAGAATTTTCTGTAGCGTGTTATAAATATGTGCGGATACAGAGTGCAAGTAAGAAGTTGAAGATAAAATGTGAAGTTAGTCAGCATGTGAGTTTAGTCACAATGACTGATTTCTAAATTAAAGTTTCACAGTTTTTATTGTAACAACAGAGATAGAGAAGAATAATTCATCTTGTCTATTGGGTTCTAAGGTAACTGAACCAGTCTATGTGGACTTTTGATGTAAAAGAGAAGTATTTAAAGCTCTGGATACAACTGTGGTGACCTACAGGGTAACATAAGTGGATTTATTACTGATTGTATTGTGATAAAAGAGGAAAGGAGAAATAATTTGTCTTGTCAATTGAGTTCCAAAGTAACTGAACCAGCCTGTGTGGACTGTTGATGAAAAGATGAGTTATTCAAAGCTCTAGCTTCAACTATGGTAAACAATAATGTATCAATTTTTTTTTGACATACGTTTGACTTGTTTTGAATATATTATTTTAAAACAAGTGAATTGTGTGCTGTCAATTTATTATTAGAATTTATTAACAACAAGTCACAGACAGCTACTGTATAGAATCTGACCCCTATACAAAAACCTTGATAAAGTTAAATGTATCAATTAACAAACACTGTCTAACCCATAATCATGTTGGTAGATTAGTTCTGTACCATCTTAGGCTACCATCAAATAAGAGATCTGGCCTTGCAGAAATTAACCCAGATTGAATTAAATGTTTCAATCATCAACCACTGTCTAACCTGTTATCAGATTAGTAGATTAATCCTGCAGCACTTTAGTCTACCAACATGTATGTGATTTGGCCTTGCAGAAACTAACCCACATTCAATTAAATGTTCCAAGCATCAACTACTGTCTAATCTACCATGAGGTTCATAGATCAGTCCTACAGCACCTTAGTCTACCATCATTTATGTGATTTGGTCTTGCAGCAACTAAATAACATTCAGTTAAATGTATTAATTAATAACCACTGTCTAACCCATCATCAGGCTGGTAGACCAGTCCTGTAGCACCTCAGTTTACCATCATTTATGTGATTTGGTCTTGCAGCAACTAACCCACATTCAATTAAATGTTCTAATCATTAACCACTCTAGATATCCTTCAAGTAAATGTAGCCTTATAGCATCTCTGCTCACCTTTTGACAGCTAGTTTGTTTTATCTAAATATGCCAGTACGTTTTTGAAGTTAGCTCTTTACCAGTTGAAACCATTCTCAGGAAGTGAGCCAACCTTTTACTAACCTTACAAAACCTTACATTGGTAGTCTGATCCTATAACATTAAGCTATACTGTTCTATACAAGTATATATTTTTACCAAGTATGTGATGCAATCATGCAGCAGTCTAACCTTTCTTGAAATAATAGCTATATTACTCAATAAGTAATTATTACCGTCATTAACAAAGGTTGATGATGGTAATTTTTTCAACCCTGTGTGTGTGTGTTTGTCAGCAAGATTTCTTGAAAACAGCTAAGTGTATTTGGACAAAAGTTAGTATATGTTTGGATTATGACCTAACTTAGAAGTTATTAGTTCCTGGAGTTTTAGGATCATAGCAAGGTCACCAAAATCCAAAAAATCCCTATCAGTTAGCATGGGGACCAATATTTTTGGCCCTATAACTCAGTCAAAAATGATCCGATTTTGATGAAACTTGGTGGACATATGTAGAATATTATTATTCTTTGTTCTGCCAAAAATAGTCCATGTCTGTTGTTAACAACAGACATACAAATGCTTTTTCATATTTTTTTAGAGCTGATATGATCAACGCTGTGTGGTGAAGGTATGTGCTCTATGAGTACCCCTCTAGTTTCATTCTGTAACAGTCTAACCCACTTGCAGTAAGACCTGCAGTACCTCATTAAAGTAAGTAGTCCATTCCTGTGGCTAACTAAACATGTTAGCAATAGAATGTATAGTTGAAGAAAGATTGGATATTCTGTGATTGTATATACCTAGAAAGTAATGCAATAAACTTGAATATTTTGGAAAAAATATACAAAACACCATGTTGTAATAAGTGTATTTCTTTAGTGGGAGACGGTTATATGAATTTGTAAATACATATCAAAAGAGAGGATTTATTTGTATGAGTCATTTCAGTATAGTTTTTGAATCGAATGACAAAAATTGTTCTTTGTATATTTTTTCTTTGTGCTGTAGATTTGTAGTATGCGAATCAAATGGATTTTATTCCTTTAGTTTAGACAGTGGAACACTCCTTATTCAACTAAAATCTTCCACATTTTTCACCTGTTCAACCATGCAAGTAGATTTAGCAGCTGAAATTGGTTCTAGAATGTGTATATATTGTGATTGCCCTGGTTACTTATTGTTATTAGTCATTCCCCTTTGATGTCAGTGTCAGGGTTTTATGTATATGGGCTTGGGATTGTTCTACAGTAGGTGTCTGTGGCTTGTTGGCGATAAATTCGAACAATAAATAGACGGTACACAATCCACTATAAGTCAAATGTATTTACTAAACTTCTTTACACTATGGAATATCACAGTTGTATTTAAAACTCTTAAGTAATTCTCTTTTCTTGTCAAAAGTCCACACAGGCTGATTCAATTACTTTAGGATCCATTTGACAAGACGAACTATTTTTCTCTACTCTTATCACAATAGTATCAGTGAATAATTCACTTATGCTAACCCGTGGGCTACCACTCTTGTATCCTGAACTTCAAATAATTGTCTCCTTTTTGTCAAAGTCCACACAGACAGGTTCAATTACTTTAGAACACCCTTTGACAAGACAAATTATTCTCCTTATCACTATTAAACTGTAAAACTCACTTTAACATATCGCCTTTTAGGGCTAATCACTCACACACCGGGTAATTTCATTTTCTTTTGCTATCTAATTTTCTGACTGAAACTTCACTTTCACTTTTTTTCTATCTTCACTCACTATATATATATATATATATCCTATTCACCAAGGCCTCAAATTTTCTATAGGCTGTGCACTGTAATCAACAATACTCACTTAAAGTAATAAGAAAAATACTGAAGGTTCGAGTAACTTAGCATCAACAATACGACAAAAATTGAACCACACACACACACACACACACACACAACATACGTCTCTTACCAAGTTATGCAAACAAACTTGTGATAACTATCGCCTTTAAAATAATTACTTTTAACACTCTTGTTATAAAAACTAAACAATCATTAAATATTAACTCACAAAATAAATTAAGTAATAACGCCTACACTAAACGGTTTTGTATATCCAACGATAAGCCCCTCTTCAAGAGAAATATTTACAATATTTTCTTACACTTTATACTAAGACTTTTCTTAGTTCATATCCTAAGTCTCCTCATATAGTCTACACCAACATTTGCAGTTTCCTTGCTGGTCTCTCTTCTCACAGGGCCTCCTGTAGGGCTTTACCTTCACAGTATACCTTGTCTTCATATTGATCTTGTGTTGCCTGAGGTCTGTCTTCCCTAATCTATCTGCATACTGACACAGTAGATCTTGTACCTCTTTCTTCTTCATGCCAGTCAGTTCTTCACTTATGTTGATGTCCTTGTATGTCTCATCTCCACCCAGTGGTCTTAAGCCTAGTAGGTCTTTACCTTCTATAATAAAGTCACTGACTTCAGATTCTGCTTCTATGACAGCCATACCTGCCATGTCCATCTGTACCTCACTAGCTGCACCTGTAAGGTCTTCTTCCCTCTCAAAGTACCTCTTTAACAGATTGACATGGTAAACCTTGATTGTCTCATCCATTTTCACCTTATAGTGCATTCTGTTGAGAACTTCCTGTACTTCAAATGGTCCTTTCCACTGCTGGGTGAGTTTGTTGTTGACTGTGAGTAGCAGAACTAAGATCTTATGTCCAAACTTGAAATGTTGATTCTTGGCCTTCTTGTTATAAAAGTGTTCCTGACTGCCTTTAATTGGTTTGGCTTTTCCATTAGAACTTCTTTGATAGGTCCGGTTCAATACGCCTCTCCGGTCCTCTGTTTTGTCAGTCTCTTTCCTCTTTGTCTTGCGCTCGACTTTCTCTCGGACACTGTCCCATAGTCTTTCTGCTGTAGACTTACATTCGGGATGTCACTTTTAGAGACTTTAAGGGGCTTGATACCTTGCTTGCTCTGCTTCCCTTGAGCTCTTGTTATGGCTGCAGATGCTTCATCCTTCTTTCTGTTTAGTTCCTCCAAATTTATACTACCTAGTATGTTTCCAATCAACAAATTGTATATTGGTGCCTTCATACACATGGCCTTAAAATATCCAAAATATTATGGAGTAGTCACCTTTAGTTTTGATATGGGAAACTTTCTCACTGTCCCATCAATTACCACACAAACGTGCACCTTGCCTGTCATCTGATTGTCAGATACTAGACTGGTTCTCACTGCTGCACTACTGCACCCAGTGTCTCTTCACTTTCTTGTCCCCAACATAGCTTTCACATATTGGAATGTTAAGATTTATTGGCACCTCTAGATATTTGTACCATGCTCCAATCACTACTGGCACTGTTGATCCATCCATATACTAAATTGAGCCAACCATTAGTTGTGCATTGATCAATCATGGCAGTGGCACTTCCTTCTTGGGGTAAATCTGACAAGTTGTCTTGATTCTGTTTTTTCTGGCAGTAGCATTCATGGTGAGTCACTCTTTTCTTGTTTCTTAGTAGCACTATCTTTGTAAATCGCTTCAGCTGCTTTATGTTGAGATTTCTGCTGTTGCTTGCTGGTAGTGGATTAGCACTCCTTTGCAATGTGTCCCACATTATAATAAACATAGCATCTCTTCTCCTTTCTGTCTATTAACCTCTTGTCTACTTTGGTAGACTCCTGGTCCTGGTCAACCATCACTGGTTTTGACTTTAACTAGATATTCTTGGACTTGCTCATTATACTATCTCCATGGGCTTCCATATACTGTTCTGCAATCTTGATCATCATGTCCACTTTTTTTTGTGGTCTCTTTTTCAGGAACAGTGGCATGTCAGTTGAGCACGTGATCATGATCTGTTCGTGTATTAGGAGGTCTGCCAGTCCGTCAAAACTATTTTCACACTTGACCATGTCAGTCCATCTTGTGAAGTATCACTGCAGACATGCCAAAAACTGATATACAGTTTCTCCAGTGTCAGGTTTGACTTCTCTGAACTTCTGACAAAAATCTTCTTCTGTAAGTTCATATCATTTTGGCAAGGCCACTTTTAGTTTCTCATAGTCTATGACATCTTCTGATGTTACGTCTGCATAGACTTGTAGGCCTTTTCCTGTGAGAAGCAGGCTGAGATAGACTGCTCAGTTGCCTTTGTCCCATTTCTGACTTGGGGCGAATCTTTCATATCTCTCCAGGAAAGCATCCATGTTATCTTTCTTTTCATCAAGTTTGGGCAGCTTTGGTCGGCAACTATCACTGCATCTATGTAGATTAATATGCTGTGTACTTTCTTTAAAGGTTTGTGGTACCTTGAGAATATATTTTCTTATGGAATAAGCATTACAGTAGAATTGCCATTGTCGGTCCTAGTTACAAATTATGTCATAATGGATAATGCCTGTGGTAATAGCATCCAAATGCATTAGGGATATCAGACAAAAATGCAAACTCTGATGTTAAACGAGCCAGTAATCATGGAAAATCAATTAAAGGCACAGAACTAAGTGCTTACACCCACAATATCTCATCTCCTGCACCTTTCACTGTCTGCATGTTATTCTGTGTATAATGTTAAAAGGTCTATCTCAATTAAAAATGTTTTTAATAGTGTGTAACAATAGTATTTATTTTCTGGATAATGTTTGATTATTCATAAATAAACTGAAAAGTAATGGATATAAGGACTGGCAACTAAATAAAATGTTTACACTTTTTCATAATAAATACGAAAATATCTGAAAAAAATAAGCTCTCGATTATGGAAATTACCTTATGGAGATATTAGAGGTAATTTGTTAATCTTGGTTTATAAGTAGCTAACTTTGAAAATTTAATTTTATTCAGTATATCCAGATGGAAAGACTAATTTCAAGTATCTGGGCTTGTCTCAGCTTTTCCTTGTTATACTTGAATAAATCTTAAAGAGAAGGGGAGGAGGTTAGGTATGTAAGAACTGTTCAGGTAGAGTTTATACTTCTGTTTAATATTGGAAATTTCACGTAGTAGAAATTTTACGGTGGTTTCACTTCTACTTTAAGAAATTCAAGAACTCTTAAGGGTAAATGCCTTCCCAAAAAGACAGTGAAATGCAGTAGGAGTTAAGGTGTTGTGGGTGTAAGCATTCAACTCCATAGCCTTAATTGATTTTCCATGCTTGCTAGCTAGTTTAACATCGGTGTTTGGATTTCATCTGATAGATGGGATATCCCCTACTTACTTTGGTGCTATTACCACAGACATTACCTGTTATGACATCAAGTTGACAACTAGGAATGACAATGCCATTTCTACAGTAGTGCTTATTTCATATTAAGTTCATTATTGGTTTATAGTGCTGATTTAATCACATATTAACAATTAATGTAAATAATAGTAATGGTATTAGAGCTATTTATTTATTTTATTTGGGATATATCTATCTTATTTTTTCTGTATGACCAATGATGTAACTTATATACCCTAGTGGAATGACGCTGTGTTTTTTTTGTTGTTGTTTTTGTATACTCCCTCATTTTATTCAAGTTTTCTTCAGAAGTACATCCAGAATTATTCTAGAAAGAACTCTCTTCATTCAGAGAACACTGTCTTGTGTCTTTTTTTTTGGTCTTTAAAAATTATTAATTTTCACTTTGTTTTACATTATATTTTACATCTTTCTTCAAGCTCAGTCAGTCAGAAATGCAGACATAATTCCCCATAACATTTTCTGCCATGCATCCTGTTATCCTGTAAAGTTAATCAATGCACTGAAGAGTACCACAGATAAACAAAATATTATTTTCTATATTGGTGTGTCTTCATATGAACTTGAATTTAAAGAAAAGCAAAAATTATTTAATTCTACAATGGTTTGGATCTGTAATATTTGTTTAAAATTAGAAGTGTGAATAAACATTGTTAACCTTCTGTATTCTTCCTATTGTCATTTTCTTTCCTTACTACTATGTGTATAGCTCAATGTATTGAGCTTCATTAATAAGTACAAGTTTTCCTATTTTGAGTTAAATGTTTTTTTATGCATAATAATTTAGTTTTGCTTTTTCTGTTATAGAAATGTTTTGATAGAGCTAAATTGATAAGACAGTGTTGATTTTAGGTCAAGTTACTTGACACTTATGTATCTTTGTATTCATAAAAAGCACAATCTTTTCTATTATTTCTCTCTCCTTAATTTCTTACTTCTAATCTGCAAGAAAAGTCAGATAAATTTACTCTTTTAAGCCTTATCTATGAATACATTTTTTGTTAGAACAGGTGAAGGTTTCACTGAGTGAAAGTATGAAGCATAGGTATTCACAGGATATATTACAGATAGATGGCATAATGATATCAAAGCTGTAAGTAAGGAAATGTAAAAAAATTGATATCCGGGGGGGGGGGGTATAAAGACCCTTTGTAGTTATTCCTTCCTTTTTTCAAATATATTTGATGTAAAAATATTGTGATAGTTATTGTATAGGTTAGTCAGAATGATGAAAAGAATAGGAAATACTGGCATATTATGAGTGTAAAACCAAGTACATACATTTTCCACTCCTTCCTCTTATTAAGCTTGTTTTGGAGTTTTTTGTTAGCCTATTCTAAGCTCTTCAAATAGAATAACTTACATACCATGTTTCATTCAGATGCTCCTACACCAGATGTTAGGAGGGACCCACTTGGTACATCTAGCTTACCCAGAGCACCTCCTCTGCCACCATGTCCATCATATAGTTTCTTAGCACCATCTAGTATACCTCCCCCACCACCACCTCCTCCTCCTCCACCCTTGTCTAATATACCTCCTCCACCACCACTTCCTCCATCTTCATCTGATCTACTTTCTACACCATCAGCTCTTCCACCCTCATCTGGTGTATCTTCCCTACCACCTCTTCCCTTGTCTAGTGCACTTTTACCAACATCACTTCCTTCTCCATCCTCATCCAGTGTATCTCCCACACCACCATATACTACACCCCTATCTAGTGTACCTCCCCCACCACCACCACCCCTCCTCCTCCATTCTCATCTGGTGCATCTCCCACACCACCATCTACTGCACCCCCATCTAGTGCACCTCCCCCACCATTACCACTGCTCTCTTCTCCAAACTTGTCTGATGAACTCAAGAGAGGTAAAAGACTACAGGTGAGTCTGTATAAATTATAGCTAGTTATTATTTTAAGATAAGATAGTTACTTAAAATGTAGATAGAATACAAATATTCTTTTTCACTGTAAGTCTTAACACTTGAAAATGTGGTTTATCAAAAGTTAATCATGTTTTGTTCATTTCTTTTGTGTACTGTTATTGAACTATTTAGTGTAATTTGTTAAAATTCATTAACATGCAAGTAGAGAGTTTTATATAGAAAACAATTAAGATTTTGTGAGAAAGGGGTGTTCCTTAAATAAGATACTGAAGAATTTGTCTTTTGTAACATTAGGTGAAGTTTCTGTCTCTGTGTTAAAAAAATATTTCAAAAAATTTAATTTGTCTATGACAATGTAGGTGGGGAATGGTTTGGCTTCTGTTAATGTTCTTGGGTTTAAGTCAGTCAGGTACATTATTTTCCATTCTGTGTTCATAATGATGTATCGCTGTAATATTGGAAATGCTTATATATATACAAGAAGGACCAGTCTCTTGCTACTAGAAAGTTGTTTCAACTTATAATGTTAGGAAGTTTGATTTCATCTGTTATATGAGCTTCATAATTATGATCATGTTGTATTCTTAGATTTTAAAACCAATTTTCTGAAGAATGCTTCCCTAATGTTTTCCATGCTGACATTAATTTTACAGAATACACATTATACAAGGTAGTCAAATGTATGAAAACTGTTGAAATAGTATTGTTTATTGCTGTAGAAGCATAAAACAAAACAAATTAAAGATATATGCAGTCTCATTGAGATTAGAATAAAATTAATTTTATGGTGTTTACTTTGTCTGTATAAGGTAATCAGACCACCAATGATAATTTAAACAGTTTCTACTAATAAAAAGGAAATTTTTGATATATAAACTCCTCAGTTAAGTTACATACACTTGTCATAAGTCATTAGTATTAGGCCTATGATATATATACAGGTAAAACTAAATTAACTTGAGTTATCTTAGATAGGCCTGTTAGATAACAGTGGACCTAATACAAATGTCTTACAACAAGTATAATTAATTAAAATCATGCTTCACCATCTTAGAAAGGGCATTCAAACCATAACAGTTATCAGTTGTATACAGTAAAATTAGATTTCTTTTATATAGTTAGACAAAGTTTACATAGGTCCTTTGAAATCCTGAAAAAGCCATAGAAAATGAGCTCTAAAAATTTCAGTACTGGCTATTCTGGAAAAAATGACATTTTTATGTCATAGGCCTGGTAAATTCTTGAAATTGAAGTACCAATAAAACTTATCCCATGAAATAATTGGCTAAATTAAACAAACAAGCAAATAAAAAAGTTTGAATGTGAAAATTGGATTTATTTTAAAATGCAAGGTAATCAGTTCTATGTGGTAAGATTGATCAAATCTTTTGGAACTTTGAGTGTGGGTCCTGGAAAGTCTTGAAATGTTTCTTTTCTAAAATCTATATAAGGTTAAGATACAGGTACTTTCAAAATGTACATAGGAATATATAGCAGGTACATATGACCATGTATTACAACAACATTTATAAATTCCATCTTTTGAATTGATTAGATTTATGTAAGTATATTTTTTTCTAGCAAGTCAAGACACTTTCAGAATCTGAAGGAAGTATCAGTTCTTCAGATCCAAGAGATGCCTTACTTGATCAAATAAGACAGGGTATCAAATTAAGATCTGTAAGTTTTTCACATTCTGGTTTTCACTGCTAATTTGTTTGATTAAAGTAACTTAAAAGAAGGTCTTCATTTAGTCTTGCCTGAACAGTTTTTTAACATCTACAAAGAATATAAATCAAATATATTTTAAATGAACTTTAATAGTTTGCACAAAGTTTTAATATCAGGCCACCCCAATATTAACCCTTTTGATGCATAATTACATTTTGGGCTGGTTCCCGAAAAGTGTCAATTATCCACCATAAAATCTAATTAGGAATGTGATCATTTCTAGTCCTTTTTCAATATTGAAAGGAGATGATATATTTTCTATATCTGGCACAATAATTTTCTGATGTACACACGAATGCTGAACGGAAGAAACAAGCTACAAATGATGAACACTGATTTATACATTCATTTTACCACCTCATTACAAAACCTCTGGCTTATAGTAGTATATCAGATGATAGATACTAGAATACTGAATATGTATGTAAGGTATAACATAAAAAGAGTAATATATCAATAAAATTAACCTCAAATCATGGAGTTACTTACTGCATGAGCTAACAGCTGAGCATATGTATACACATCCACTAGGTGTGGTGTTGCTTACAGATGGCAGCACCACAGAGCTGTGGCATGGCTTTCAAGGACTTTCAAGGGTATTCCTGCTTGCTGCAGTGGAAGGAAAGGTTTTTGTGAAGTCATGGGATAAATCTACTTGTTGCATCATGATGGTTAAGGTATACTGATATCTGACACAATGCAAATTATGGAAATGTTATGCAAAAAATAAAATGAACAAGGACAAAGGAAATAAACACATGTATGAATAAGTTTTATTCTTACAAAAATAAGTGTCAGCTTTAATTAAACTACCAGATTTCAATTGGGTAAAGAGAGAGACTCAAAAGATCAGATCAAGGATTTTCAAGTTCCACACACTGTTAGGTCAGGACAAAGCCTAATGCAGTAACCCACAGTCCTGAAATTACTTATGTCAACAACTGTTTCCATTATACATATTAAAGGAAGACAAAACCTAACTCATATTAGCTTGTATAAGTCTCTGTACCTTCCCTTGAAATGAGTACAACCTTAGGAGGTCTTGATTAGAAACGGGGCCAAGCATATATATAAGAGTCTTACGATAATAGCTTTGTGTAAAGCATTTTTTGTCTACAGTTGACGATGAGTGCAAGTTTATGATCTTTCTACAACCAGCTTATCCTAACTATAAACAGAATACCCACACAAAAGTTATCAAATTTCCTGAATATACCTAAATAGAAAAAAATATATATTCTTTACTAATTATAGAAGTATAAAATAAAATATTATTTGCAATCATCACATTTCTTCTAGCTTTTTAATAATATTTTATAGGTATTCTGAAAAGTGAATTACATTACAAAAGCCAAACATAGATAAAAGTTCACAGTTACACATAAAAAGTGGCTCAGTGGTAAGTCTGAGGACTTGTAACACTAAATATCAGGTTTTGAGAGTTTGGTGGGTATAGCACAGATAGCTTATTGTGTAGGTATGTGCTTGATAACAAAAAAAAAACAACAAACACAATATTCTTTTCCCAAGAAAGATAATGCTGATTCTTCAGTTAAAAAAGGGATTAATTGATGTAAAGAAACATTTGTAAATGGATTTAAATTACAAAATATTGGTTTTCCTACACCGAGTAAACAAAAGAAAAAAACCCAAGCTCAACAAAAAAAAATTATTTTGGAATATTCATAAAATCTAAAAATACATAAATAATGAGAAAAAAAGAAAAGAAACAAGACACAAAAATACTTTTAGTGTGTAAATTGAAAAGAACATATTCATTAGTGTATTCTCTAAATTCTTAATGAAGCTGGTTAATTTAAAAAATGACTAAAGAATTTTTTTGAAGAATAACCCTAAAATGAAGTACCTCTTTAGGTTTCAGAAAAATCCAAATCTATCGCACCCAGGTCATTGCCTCTAGAAGATCTAGCAGGAGCTCTTGCTCGAGCTTTACAAGAAAGATCTCGTGTAATTCAACTAACAGGTTTGTTTTATACTTGAGAAATCATTAAATTGTAAAATGACGTACTGATAAGTAATTAATTGTACTTCCATTTAACTTTGAAAGAAAGTGTAAAGTTACTTGGTTACATTCAACGTTGTGAGATGTAAAACGTTTGATGATTTTTACTTTTCTTTAATTAATAGTACCTAATTAAAATTGATCAACATTTAATATGTTCAGTACAGCTGGGCAATTAATTGATATAATCGATTTTCTATGAGCATTGATTACATCAGTTAATATCACATAAAATAAACGAATTGAAATTACAGTTAAATTGGTTAATATCACAAAAATACTCAAATAACTGAAATTATTGTTTTTGATTATTTCAACTAATTGAAATATTTGCTATTATGATTTCTCATTATTATTTTTTTATTAATTAAAGGTTCTTCAGCTAAAATACAAGTGTCAGGAAAATAATCAACTAATCAAAATTCTTGTTTCCATTTATTACTGTTTTCGGTTATTTCAACTATCTTAGTTTTGTGATAATAATCAATTCATGAGCCCAATGATTAATCAATTAGCAAATTTGACTAATCACTTAGCTTTTATGTTTTGTAGTAATACTTATAATTAACATAAGTATTCATTTCTATATTTCAAATTTTTAAGCATAAAAACATTTAATACAAAGTAACAAATATTTATTAAATTAGCAGAAATTCATCACTGTTTACACAACAGAAGTTGTATTAATATTCACATTCATTCAAATAAATTGTTTTCTATTTTGTTTTCAGTTAATCTAACCAATATAAAGTGTACAATTATATCTCATTCTAACTGTTTCCAGTTTAGAATGGTATGGATATATTTCATTTGAGTATAACAATATTCTAGATGGAAGTGATGGTGATAGTGATGAAGATGAAGAAGACAATGACGAATGGTACTGCTAATGGGTTTTAATTAAATTGTTTTAGAACGTTATTAATTTCCATACAGGAAATTTTCTGTTCCCTTTCTATTGCTGTAAGTTTGAATTATTTCAAACATTAATGATTAAAAAAAATTATGCTGTTTTTTTTCTAAAAAGTGTAATTTGTATTTTAAATTTTAATATATTTTTGAAATAAAATTATTTTAAATGTTTAAACTTAATTATATAATACTACAAAATCTACAACTGGCATGTCCTCTGTAAAAAACACAGATTGTTAATGGCTGTTTGTAAGAAACTAAAAATTTAATTCATGATTTTGTTTATATTATCAGTGTATAAGTGCCTTTACCTTCTTGCTGTTACTAGTTTCTTGATAACATGGGTAGAGGTTGTGATTATATAAAAGGGTTTGATAATGTTATATTTATATTCTTAAATATACTCAGAAGATATGCATTGAATTTTAATGCAACATACATTACATTAAGGGTTTCTCAGTATATTTAATGGAAGAAGGGGGAGGTGAAGCAACTATAAATATAACTAACTGTTAAAAAAAATGTAAACTCTATAACATAAATTAATTTATGCCTTTCTCTGTAAAAGGAAAATAGTTAATGGTAATTATTCTCTTAAAAAGATGTATTTATTTCATAAACATTTAAAAATGTATGTGTTACGGATAAGCTTGTAACCCTTGCTATATTGCAACTAATCTTAAAACTCCAAGTCTTATTTTTGAATTTAAGTTTTGTATTAAGAGCATAACTGTACATACTCTTTGTTAATGCAAATTATTGAGATTTTTCTATGGGTAGATGATTCTGAATGTAACAATTAATGATATTTTTTCAGTATATAAATGTATGTATATATGTTGTTTCATAAGAAACCATTTGTGAGAAGGAAACCAATGTTTTTTTAAATCATTAAAATAAGTCTTGTGGGAAAATATTTTGCTACACTTGCCCGTAATATACAATATGAGATTATAAAGATGTATTTATATATATATATATTTATAATTGAGATAAATATTTTATGCTGAAGATTTTAGAAGTAGTATTTTCTGTATATAGAAATAATTGTAATGTAGAAAACATTTAATTTAAGGATTTCTCTGATAAAGTAACATGCTTATTAATTTTTTGGATTTGATTGGCTAATATCGGTAATCTAAGAGCAATATTTGATATTTCTCTTATAAGTGCTTGTATTGCATACATGATGTACTCCAAGAGTATTATTATTACTTGTTTTAAAATCGTTTACAAAAACAAAATTTTATTTTCTGATGAATCATTTATGGGTAATGTACTTATGAAAGTTGAATATATAATCACTGTAAGGTAAAAAAAATTAGCATATATATAGCCAAGAATCAAAATACATTTCTTTAAATCTGTGAAATAATAATCATATAAACTAATCATGGATCTTCAGATACAACTTTATTCTGATTGTATTCCCTGTGCTGGTGACTTTGCTGTAAAGTATTGTTGCAATTATATTATGAATAAAATGAGTTACTGTTGTACTCACTATACATGCTAATAAAAATTATCCAGTAACACTTGAAGTATTAATTACTTTTAAATTAATATATATGTGGTAATTATTTTATATCAATAGTAAGTCTGCATCATTCAGATGTCAGGGAAAATATTGATATTAAGATCTAAGTTAAAAATTTTAAATGATCACAATTTAAAAGTTTCTGAGAAAGTTTTAATTAGATAGTATCTCAATGGTGATCAAAAGAAAAGTAAGTGGGAATAACTTTTTTTTTGTACATTCTTTGTTCATTTAACCTTTTATAATCACTTATAATCATTACATAATGTTAGAAAAAAATTGTAATTATACATAATGTCAGAAAAACTTGTAATCTATATGTAATTTCAGAAAAACTTGTAATCTATACGTAATTTCAGAAAAACTTGTAATCTTTATATAATGTCAGAAAAACTTGTAATCATTGCATAATGTCAGAAAAAATTGTAATTATACATAATGTCAGAAAAACTTGTAATCTATACGTAATTTCAGAAAAACCTATAATCTTTACATAATTTCAGAAAAACTTGTAATCATTACATAATGTCAGAAAAACTTGTAATCTATACGTAATTTCAGAAAAACTTGTAATCTTTACATAATGTCAGAAAAACTTGTAATCTATACGTAATTTCAGAAAAACTTGTAATCTTTACATAATGTCAGAAAAACTTGTAATCTATACGTAATTTCAGAAAAACTTGTAATCTTTACATAATGTCAGAAAAACTTGTAATTTATACGTAATTTCAGAAAAACCTGTAATCTTTACATAATGTGAGAAAAAATTGTAATCTTCATCATGTTTTGTTAGTATTTTATTTGCTCTGATAAAATACTATTCTGCTGAACTAAAGCACAAGATTCATCTATCTGATTAAACCATGATCTTTATCAAAAACTAAATTTTAAAAACAAAATACAATGAGTTTAAAAAATTAAGTTTACTCAATTATTAGAACAAAGTAAGACATTAAACCGACAATCACTGATTTTTTAATACCAGTTTTGTTAACATATTTTCTATAAAGAATTATTTTTCTAAAATTATTAATCTCTCAAAATCTCTCAAATCTTATATAAGTCAGATTTGAATGTACACTTTGTTTTTTAGTCCAGTATGTATTAATTAGGTTCTTTGTTGGATTCATGTTTTGCAAAATTAATTTTATTTAGTAGATTTTACTTATTTGCAAAACTTGACTGACCAAAATAATAATAAAATATCAGCACAGAAAAGACTCATGAATTGATTAAAACAGTTTCAACTTTGTACTTGTTTGCATGGCCTATATGTTTTACAAACAAACTAAGTAATGTCATTACAAACCTGTATACATATCAGCTTAATGATATTGAGGAAAGAGCCTTAACCCTCAGTTTAAGTTGTGGTTGTCTTCTAAGAAACTGTAGTTTGATACAGCTACAGATTTGTACATTTTCAATTAAAATCCTTATTAAAACAGTTAAAATAATATGTAATTTCTCCTTTTACCATGGATATATATTTTAAGTTATTAAAACTCCTGTCTTTAACATTTTTACAAAAATTATAATTTTGGAAACAAACTACAAAATTTACCTGTTGAAACACATGAATTTTTTAATAATCTCATGAATAAATTACAGAAGTATATTTTACAGTTGAAAGAGGATAATATAGGTGATGTGTTTAAGTCAATTTGACTTGTTGGATACTATACAGGAATTATATATTGTCAAATATTGACACTTCTAACCATAGTTTGTCAGGTTTTCCAGGGTTAATCACCCTAAGGTTCTGCATCACAGTGGCTTCTGAACAGTGGAAAGGTATCTTTATATTATGCCTACCTCAAGAATGAAAGCCCTATTCTAATACCCTACTATCTGACTACCATTTGCCTTGATCTCATCTTTATCTGACATAAGGGGAATAAATTCAGCAGTAGTAACCTCATGTGTGTGGTGTATGCAAAGAGTGGAAGGACATGGTTGTATAACATAGAAACCTATACATGGATGGCAGCACTTGTACCTCGGGTATCTTTCCACTATTGAGCAAAGTAAATGTCGCGTTTTGGAACACTTTCATTAACCACCTCCCAAAAACATAGAAACCTATACATGGATGGCAGCACTTGTACCTCGGGTATTTTTCCACTATTGAGCAAAGTAAATGTCGCGTTTTGGAACACTTTCATTAACCACCTCCCAAAAAACGTACATCACGTATAATAGTTAAACGAACTGCCGAAACTTCACGTTAGTGTAGCC